GAAACAGAAAACAGTAAAAAAAAAAAAAAAGAAAAGAAAAGAAGAAGAGAAAACATATAACTATACAATTTTTTACGTGTACGAGATATAGCCATGCAAAATGAGTTCCTTTGTGCCCTTGAAGGAGTTCGATGAATCGCCGGACGAGCAACGTACAATTCGGTTTTCATCTTGTCAGTTGAAATCTGCAATTTTTGTTGTTCGCTCGGATGGTGCAATAGGGATTTTACACGACCCCTTTTATCGATCTTTGATTAATATTGATAATTATCTGTGTACCTGCTATTGAAAGTTGTAGTTTTATACAACAATTATGACTATTGTCTCGTTGATGATGGCTGTATTTGAGCGAAAACTCGTGAGAAGCTGCCCGATGATGGCAGCAGACGTTGTATTGTTGCAAAGCCGTACGCTAAGAATTTTACGTTACTTGTTGTGATACAAATATATCGAGTCAGTTTTTGAAAGATGTTGTGGATCTTTCGATCGGTAAGTCTTAAGTAGAGGTGAACACTGTATAATATACCTTCGTCCTATATTATTTCATGGTAGACCGTTTCCACTCGCTGTTTCTCAGCCTCTGCACCAGTGTTCTCTTGGAGAGACGCGATTGCGGAAAGGTGATCCTTCACACTGCAGCTTGAAACGAAATTCGCTTCGACATTTCGCGCGCGCGCGCGCACGCGCGCTCGTTTCTCTGATTCTCGATATGTTCGATATGAAACAACATAGACAAAGCAGCCCGATTCTTCTTGAGAAAAAAGAAAACAATTGACACGTCAGCCGCAGTGTGAATATTCTGTCGCCTCAGGTTAGTTTGTCACAACTTTTATTTTGTTAACGCTTCAGATCGAATCGGCTTGCTTTTGCGCGGTCGATATACATTATCTACGGACCTTTTTAAGGGACGTTCGATTCAACGAAACATTTAGAGTATATTTTTCCTTACAATAAAGAATATGTTAAAGATCTTTCACTATATAACGTAGTCACTGTACACTGGGCCCCCCGATACCTCTTGTTGTGATCAAGAGTGTTCGGAGCACTATGTGTATACATATTTTTAATAATTAGAAGAGATATGGTACGCAGTTTCAGTAACACGTTTGAACTTTATAGAAAAGTTACACGTGAATGTAATATATTCGTTATGAGTAATACGTATAGGTACTTGCCCTAAATATTTTCCATTATTTACTTTCAAATAAAGTTATTCCAAGTGAAAATAACAGTGGAAAATTATTAAAAAGAAAGAAATAGTTTCTCTAATATTTTGCAAGATGGAATCCAAATAGGATGATGGCAAACATAATTAAAGGGTATTAATATTGAAGTGTAAAGCTATTAATAATTGTTGCGCATTAACTTGTTTCTTCTTTGTTACTACCGAAGCACATCTCTGTGTAGCATTTTTATTGTTCGTGCTGGTTTATTTTTTTTTGAAAAACCTTTAATTGGATTTTGTGTTTACGTTTACAAAAAATTATAGAATTGCACAGATCAATATTTAGCCTATTTAAACAGTACTGAAATTTTACTATATCTCTTCTGTAAGTGTACAAGATATATAACGTACTACATCGCTGTCTTATCAAAGCTTAATTCAGCACATCCAAACGATTAAGTTATCTTATAGAAACGTATGTTTCATTTTGCCTTGTTTTCTCAATTGCAATTTAACATTGCGATTGGATTATGCAGATGCAATGAAATTTAGACCAAGGAACTGTCTGAACGTAAATAAAAAATTTTATAGGTATGAATACTTCTGTTTTCTGTTTGAAATCGTGGTTGTTGAAAATTAGAAATGGAAGAAGACATTAATTTGTGTTTTTACAGTAACGTTATCGTATCATAAGTATCATCCCCGAAAGTTTTTTCATCATGTCGAAACAGAGAAATTGACTTTTATTAACTTAATTATGTTTTATGATCGTAGAAGTATGATTATCACAGATAAGTAGTAAACGTCGATTTTTTTTCAAATTACTTATAAATTTGTGTAGTATACAAGTAGCAATAATTATTATTTATTTAAAAGTATTTCTCAAAATATTACAAAGATATTTTATCCGGGTGCACGAGAATAATTTTAAGTCAAATTTATTTGATCGAATCAATATGTAAGGTAGATTTAAAGATGTTTTATTATTGATAATTATAGGTGGAGCCAAAAGAAATTTTGTCGACACTGAATTAAAAAGATAACGAAATGTTTAACCTATAAAAAAGACATCAGTTTGAGCCGGACTCGAACCGAGAAAAAAATTTTTAAATATATCTTAACACCGTTGTACGGAGATATTGAAAGCATCGAGATCTAAACGTATTTCAGATAAGATATTGTTACTATGAAAACATAAAGTTACGTATATTTTAACGCTCACTCGTCGAAACAAAATTGCACGGACTTGCCACCGGTGAATCTTTTTAAAGCTTGATCTTTTTGTATTAGTTACCAATAATTTTATTAAATCGTAAATAATTTGTGTTTGTGACATAACCTTGACGTAACACTTTTATTTATGAATAAGCGTTTCAATAAGGATACAAATACTGTAATTTTAATACAGGGCAAACTCTAGCATACCGTTTTAAAAGTTTATTCAATTTCTGAATGCTGAATTCAGCTTTCACAGTCGGTGAGATACGACTGATTCTAAATGCAAAATTTGCCTGGTAGGAGTGCAAAGAAAAATGATAGAGATGATAGAGGAATAAGATAATGCGAACTCGCTGAAATTTAACTTCCTGTCATTTCATGGTTATCGATATCTTTAACATTAATATAATAACATATATACACATAATCTATGTATAGTTTTTGTTGTCTACAGAATAACGTACCTTTATTGACACGATTGATCATTCTTTCTTCATTGAAAACGTTTGTATTCAATAACTTAAGGTGCATATCGAAATACCTATATTGGATAAAAATTCATTACTTTTTAGCATTTTTATATAAATTTACCAATTACCGAACGGAAGTCTCGCATTAATATCTATCGAACTATACGTTATACATATAAAATAGGAGGAACGTAGTACTTTCTGTGGTTAATAGAAACGAGTCTTTCATTTATCCATGTAAACGACATAAAGTTATCTTATAACATAATAAGAATCTTCTATAATGTTAGATTTTTTACCATCGGAAGAGAGAGAGAGAGAGTAGCGTAGCCGAAAAAATAGCGTAGTTCATGCAGAGTGGCAAGAATAAATAAAAGTACCGAATAATAAACGTTAATAACGCATAATAGTCTAAAGAGCAAAATTATTCGATTAAAACGGAAATGTAATTACGTTTCAATGGTGTGCCGATGCATTTATATGAAACAAAAAAAAAGCAATAAGCAAAAACACAGGAAGTTAAATTCGATAATGCTTCTCTGACAACGAATTTAGGCGAACGGTGTTCTAGTGCGTTATTACTGTAACCGATTTCGCGGTGTTCGATAGACCGTAAGAAACAATATGTATTTCATTCGTATTGGGAAGGAACGGCTTTTTCTTTGGTTACAGAGTAGTCCTTTGTCACTCGCGAACGGCCACCGTCACGTGTCCGTGTAACTTTGCTGTGTCTTCTTCGGTTATCGGTCGGTACCAAGGAGAAAGGTACACAGGATATCCCAAAAATGTCTCGCAATCCGGAAATGGCGGGTTCCTCGGATGATTTGAAGCATCTTCTTTCTTTACAAAAATGTTCTCCGAGGCACCGTTAACGAGATATTAACGAAAAACAGTGACCAATAAGGATCGAGTACGGCTGACGCGAGGCGACCCAACCAACGCATGAAGCGTAGTTCCGCTCATTGGCTCGGTCGCCTCGCGCCAGCCGAGCTCGCCTCTCATTGGTCACTGTTTTTCGTTAATAACTCGTTAACGGTGCCTCGGAGAAAATTTTTGTAAAGGAAAAAGTTCCTTCGAATGACCCGAGGAACCCGCCGCTTTCGGATTGCGAGACATTTTTGGGACACCCTGTATACTGCAGATAATTGTAGGCGACGCGTTTCACCTCTATCATTTTATTTTCACTTCGACGGGGCACGTGGATCCAAGAAATCTCTTTGGATCTCGATC